AAAAAATCAGTGCTTGGCACCAGATATACTCTGTGCTTGACGGAGTACAAAGTCAACACAACAAGCATAAACAGGCAGAGGAACGTACTGTGCTCACCGCTGCATCTAAAGCCCACGCCTTATGTCGTCTCCTCGTAAAACGCATAAGAAAGAACGCTGATCACATTATTCGCACCTTAATGCACGATGGAGTGACATATAATGACCAAATCATCATATATGAACTATTAAGTGAATGTATACGAATATTCGTCAAGATTAGAACGAATAGTTTGACAGTAATTGAGCGCCGAGTATAGAGAAGTCATTATATGTGAAAATTATATTTGAATGGTTTTTCGACAATGGGAATACCTCTCATGCCCCAGATATCGACATAAAGTGCATCAGCAAAAATTATCTTAGCACCATAAACTTCGACATTAGGGGTATACATACCTTCATCAAGACCCCTAAGCCGAACGCGAGTTCTGGTGCCGATGGCTTCCCTTCAGTCCTTCATAAACCGGACATACAGACGCTATTACTAACAATATACACATCATCTTTAGAGACAGATACATATCCGGAAACCTGGAAGGTAACATATGTTGTTCCCAAACACGAATCCGGACCGAGAAACCTGGTCGAAAACTACAGACCCATAAATATCACTCCAGTTATATCACGCATAATGAAAAAAGTGATACAAAATGAACTATCTAATCACTTACTTAATGAAGATCTAATAGACCCGTCACAACACGGCTTTATTAGAACAAGGTCGTGCAGTACATGTCTGATAGACTTTTTTAAGGAGGTTACTCGTATGCGCGACCAGAAGAAACTAGTTATTATACTATACTTCGATATTAAGAAAGCCTTTGATAAAGTACCTCATAATCTTCTAATCAACAGGCTTAAGTCAGTTGGAATTATAAATCCCCTTTTGCAATGGATCAAGTCTTTTCTTACGAACAGATACCAAATAACCAAGATTAACTCTACAACATCTACACCTCGACCAAGAACCAGTGGTGTTGTGCAGGGTAGTGTATTGGGTCCATTGCTCCTTAAAATCTACATCAACAATATATGCAAATGCTTTTGCACAGGCAAGACCTACCTCTATACCGATGACTTAAAAGTCATCTATAAAACTGACATTTGCGATTTAAGTAGTACTATGCAAACAATCCAGCATGAACTCAACATGGTAGGCGTCTGGTGCAAACTCTGGAGGTTAGGGTTCAACACAGAGAAATACGTCTGGTTATGTATAGGACACACGTCTCTTAAAATGAAACTAACACTTAGCGACCACACACTGCCCAGAATGACATCAGTAACTGACCTAGGGGTACATTACTCACACAGTCTTAATTTCCCTGAACAAATCTCAGCTAAAGCATCTAGAATGCGGAAATCGCATGGCTTCATTCTCCGTAATTTCTATCAAAATGAATTTAAAATTCTTCGTTATAAAGTTTGTGTAAGACTTATCGTTGAATACTGCTCGCTCTTGCTTTCTAACCTACGCCTATCTGATATAGTAAGAGGTGGAAGGAATACAACGAGACTTCACCCGCAAAGTACTCAAGACTGACTCAGTCATTGACTACAGTTCACGATGCCAAGTCTTAGGAATAGCACCACTTTGGGAGAGAAGGCTTAGGTCTAATTTGATTCTCTACTTCAAACTACTCAAAAACCTTACTTATTCAACATGTAAGATAGTTCTTGCCCGAGATTCACATGAATACGAAATTCGAAACAAAGTATCTACCGTCAAAGTTGAGAAATACTGATCAAAAACTCGGGAAAACTTCTCCCCCGTCAAGTATGCGATAGTATGGAACAGTCTTTCCTCCGAAATACACATGGTAGATGAATTACATATGTTTGCAAAATTGCTTGATCAAGCTCTCACTTTCACTAATCTAGCACTTAGGAATACATCTGCGCCCCACTCAGACATCATAGGCTCGCTTCATGTCTAGACCAAAACGGACTTGAAGTTCAGTTTGTCTTATTTTTCCTTCTTTAGTTACTTTTACCACACTACTTCTTCACTTAAAGTAACCAGGTAACTCTTTGGGTCTATCGATACTGTTCAACTAAACTCGGTCGATTAGGGGACACTCACTACCACCCTAAAACGTCAAGAGAACAGCCTACTACCAGTGATCTTGCATCTATGGAGCCTGTCACTCATCAGCTGGTTAGGACAACACAAAATAGCATCAGCACCAAGTTAGCGTGAGTTTCTTCCTGTTTATTCTTTATTGGCTTTTTACTCTTCTGTACACTATGTTGACTGGCAATTAATACTATTTATCCACTCGTTAGCTTATCTACAGCTCATATACTTCCATACTTTTCCGCATGCTTTGATAAATAACTATCCTACATTATACTCTTTTAAATGCTTAAACTGTAATTGGCGAACTATACTTTATACTGTAATCAATTAATAATAATAATAATAATAATAATATATTTCTGCATGTGCAGGTACACACCGTTTTTACAGGCATGATCTATAAATTACAATATTTGTTGGTTCGCAAAATGCTTCCCAACTTATTAAGTTTATAGTTGTTATAAAGTGAGATCGTAGAGCGCTTGCTGTAAACTATGACCTTGAGAGGACGCGTACGTTAAGTTTGCTCCAAACGTCAGAAGTTTCATAGCTGTGCTCTCAGAGCAAGATTCTAAAGGAGAGAAAAAAGAAACAGAGGAGCAGCAAGGCACTTGGATATGAACGCCAAAGGTTGCTTAACATTGTGTAGTAGAACGGACAGAGGTATAATAAATTAGAATAAATTCATATTATGTCTTGTTAGAGTGAAGGCAGAGGCTCCATATTAGAGAATGTACTAATAAAGAACAACGAGTAGTGATGTTTAACAAGTTGGAGTAAGCTCACATGAAGGAAGGGAAGTCAAGGTTGGTACAAGGGAAGCGGTTTATTAGAAGGGTGTATATATAGAGGGTGAAGTGTTAAGAATACTAGTGACTATATCTTTTATTGTCTTTTTCTTTTCTTTTTTTCCGATGTCAGCCACGCAATCCTAGTGTAAAAGTCCGAGTTAGCATGTTATAGGTTGTCTTAGTAGAATAGCTAATCCAGCATATTATTGGAAACATGAGTCTGAGTGGTGAGCGTAGGAAGACAATCTATATCTTAGATTGACTGTCTTATTCTCAATTATAAAGAGCCTGATACATACAAAATGTTCTGTCCCCACAAACACGGGTGGATTGAAGTTATCGCCCTCACCATCAATGCTTGCTGGTCAGTAACTCCACCCTCCCTCCTTTTGTGATGTTAGGCTCATTTAAGCTTATTTTTGTATATACGTCATACCTCACACAATCCTCTGTTTCACAACTTGTTGGAAAGCACTATTTCTATAAGTACCATTTTACAAGCTTATCAGGCAGTTACAAGCGTGGACTGTGGGTAAAGCATCGATGCAGTGTCTCTGTTGACTATAGTATAAAGTATAGTTTGCCGAACAGAGTATAAGCGTTAAGAAGGGTATATTGTATAGTTGTTTATTTAAGCAGGCGGAAAAAGTATAGAAGTATGAGTTGTGGATAAGGGAACGAGTAGATGCCTTACTCATAGTCCATAACTTGTAACTGCCTGAAAAGCCTGTAAAATGGTACTTATAGAAGTAGTGTTTTCCAACAGAGGATTGAGTGAGGTATGACATATATCCACAAATAAGCCTAAATGAGCCTAACATCACAAAAGGAGCGAGGGTGAAGTTACTGACCAGCAAGCATTGATGGTGAGGGTGATGACTTCAATCCACCTGTATTTGTGGGGCAGAAAGTTTTGCATGTATCAGCCTCATTATGTTTGAGAATAAGTCAATCAATCTGTGATATAGATTGTGTTCCTACGCTCACCACTCAGGCTCATGTTTCCAATTTTATGCTGGATTAGCTATTCTACCAAGACAACCTACAACATGCTGACTCGGACTTTTACTGTAGGACTGTGTGGCTGGCATCGGATAGACAGAGAAAGAAAAGAAAGAAAAAATGAGACAATAAAAGATATGATCATTAGTATTCTTAACACCACCCTCTATATACACACTCCCTTCAAATGAACCGCTTTCCTTGTACCAACCTTGACTTCACTTCCTTCATGTGAGCCTACTTCAACTTCTTAAACAACACAACTCATTGTTCTTTATTACAACACTCTCTTATATGAAGCCTCTGACTTCATTTCACTCTAACAAGAGATAACATGAGTTTAATCTAATTTATTATAATTATGTCTGTTCTACTACACAATGTTAAGCAACGTTTGGCGTTCATATCCAAGTGCGTTGCTGCTCTTCTGTCTCTCTTTTTTTCTTCAGAACCTTGCTCTGAGGGCACACCTATGGAACTTCTGATGTCTGGAACAAACCTGACGTACGCGTCTCCTCAAGGTCATAGTTTACAGTAAGCGCTCTACGAGTCTACTTTATAACAACTATAAACTTAATAGGTCGGGAAGCATGCTGTGCGCCAACAAATGTTGTAATTTATAGATCATGCCTGTAAAAATGGAGTGTACACGCTCATGCAGAAATATATTATTATTATCATATGTTTTAATGTGTATAAACTTCACAAATATTGCCACAATTGTTTAAGGAGCTCAATTGATAAAGCACATAAGATTATCACCCTCAGTGCCAAAAATAAACGTTTTTATCAGTAAGGGAACATTGTCCTACCTTTTCTGGATAGCTTACGTACAATTTTTTAGGAAATGATGTTTGACTGGATAAAAATATCAACAATAAACTTATGAAGGATTATAGACTTAGTTACTTGTTACAACAATGTTTGTTTCCAGTTCTGAAGATTGGCTTCATTTGTCGATCGAAAATCAACACTTCTAGTCAGTTAAAGTTACAAGTAAGGGGAGAATAAATCAACATGGCCACCGTTATAACCAGAGTGTAGAGTAAAAAAACTTTAATGTGATTTATGAGAATCATAGAAAAATGAAAGATTTTTGCACTAAGGTATGTGTTGTAGCAATGACTTTCTCACAACAGGAGATAAATATTAGCACTCATTTGTAGACATTATGACAATTAGAGAAGTGGATACCTTTGGCTATCAAAAGAGATGGTCCCTGGTCAGATTCTGTAGTTTTTAAACTAAATTGTTTCGGAATGATGAGTAACTTCTAGGTTAGTTAAGATACGTGCTATCGTTCAATTGAAACCAAAACAAGATGATGGGTAAATGACAGTTCGATAAGTTATCCAACCAATAATTGTTCAATCAGTGGTCAAACTGGGTGCAACAAATAGATGCCATTCTACCTTTTCTAGATAGATCACGAATAGGTCGTTCGAAAGATAATATTAAATTGTGCTATAAAAAGCAGTGTTTCTAGTTCTTGAAGAGTGCTTCGATTCATGATCAAAAGATGCACAGTTCCAGTAATTACAACGAACGCAATCAAAAAGGGAAGTGTTTAACAACTTGGACTGATTAGTTAAGAGTTGATCTCAAAACGATAGAGCTCAAGTTTTCATTAACTTCTCTATTTCGTATAGGCATTATATCTCCTATTATTTTATATAGAATATTGAAAAGCTTTGTATTCTTGAACAGGTGACCGCCAACTGCACTGTGACTGTTCCACGATCTAAACAGAGACTTATTCACTACCAGTTTGGTTTCTTCTATCAATGGAACGAGGGTCAACTTCAGGCACGAAAAGCGACCCAATGTGACTGCCGACATGACTAATTATCAACTCGAACAAAATAATTGGGGTTCAAGAAAAGCATGGAAATTTAGTCAATACGTAAGGGAAAACAGAAATTACAATAAAATAAAAATGGTACAATCTTAAGTGAAAACAAAAGGATTACCAGAATATATATCTGAAGGAATCGAGAGGAGCAAATTGCAAGTGCATGTATGAGGGGATTTTCATAAACAACCCTTGAAAAGAATCTTCCAGGTTGTTGAGATATTCAGGAAAATATCCCAAGAATTATTATGTTAAGTCTAACTCTATCCTTGGACTTGAGATGGTGTCATTTTCTTATTGGTCAATATTTATTTCACGTGTCATTTTCCTACTGCACATTATTGTACAATGTTATTTTCTATTTTGTGGTACGATGTGGTCTCTTTGATTGGTATATAAACAGAGTATGTCTGAAATATAATGATTCATATCTCCGAGGCTGAGACTTGTGTTCTGGATTCAGCTGGCTGGACTAGACAGGGAAGCGGGATTAATCAGAACCCTAGGCCGTTCTTAAGTGTTTGCGCGTCTTTGGTCCGATCGACAATTCGTTGTCCTCTAACCTGCCGTCGCAGATATTGCACAGGTGCACTTACTTAATTAGGCATGTTACTCCTCGTGAAGGAGCATAGGCCGCTCACCACCATTCTCCATCCAACCCTGTCCTGGGCAATCCTTAACAGTTCTTTCCAGTTGTTATTCATCATTTCCATATCTGATTCTATTTCCCAACGTAGTGTGCTCTCTGGCCTTCTTTTCCGCTTCCCTCCAGGATTCCAATTTAACGCTTGCCTCGTGATGCAGTTTGATGATTTCCACAATGTATGTCCTATCCATTTCCATCATCTTTTCCTAATTTCCTCTTCAACTGGAAGCTGGTTTGTTTTCTCCCACAGAAGGCTGTTGCTGATGGTATCCGACCAATGGATGTTGAGTCTCTTGCACAGACAACTATTTATAAATACTTTTACCTTATTGATGGTGGTTGTTGTAGTTCTTCAAGTTTCAGCTCCGTACAGTAGAACTGCAATGACGTTCGTATTGAAGATTCTGACTTTAATATTGGTTGAAAGTTGCTTTGAGTTCCATACGTTCTTCAATTGAGGAAATGCGGCCTTTGCCTTCCAATCCTCGTCTTTACGTCTGCATCTGAACCTCCTTGTTCATCGGCGGTGCTTCGCAGCTATGTGAAGGATTCTACATCTTCCAGAGTTTCGCCATCAAGTGTGATTGGATTGCTGTTCTTCGCTTTGAATTTGAGGATCTTGGTTTTTCCCTTGTGTATGTTGAGGCCAACTGATGCACAGACTGCTGCTACACTGGTCTTTATCCGCATTTGTTCAGTGTATGTGATAGGAGGGCTAGGCATCTGCGAAGTCCAAATCGTCTAAATTGGTTCTAAGCTGTTTATTGTATTCCGTACTTTTCCTCAGATGTCGAGGTCTTCATAATGCGGTCAACCACCGGAAGAAGGAGAAAGGGAGAGAGTAAACAGGCATGTCTGACTCCGGTCTCTACTTGGAATGCATCTGTCAGCTGTCCTCCATGCACGACTTTGCACTGTGGTCTGTCGTATGAGTTCCGGATAATGTTAACAACCTTCTCAGGAACTCCGTATATCGAAGAAGTTTCCATAATGTTCTCCTATCTACACTGTCAGGAGTTTTGTCATGATCAATGAAGTTGATTTACAGTGACGAGTTCCACTCAATTGATCGTTCGACGATGATCCTCAGTGTCGCAAATTGGTCTGTGCACTACCGATCCCTGCGGAATCCAGCCTTTTCCAAGTGTATCCTAGGCAAATAAAACGACTTGCATTATTCACCGCAAATCTCCTAAGCAATCGCTGTAATTCGTTTGTCAACCAACGTTGGTAGTCAGGTGATTTGAAGAACTCTTCCAAACAGGCACGAGATATAGCTTTTATGATTGTCGTCGTGTGCGTTTAACCCGAGTAATTTTTAAGATACTGGGAAATATTATTTTCAAACCATTTATAAACGTGAACAAAAGCTAGTTCTTTCTGAAAATATCCATAAAATTACTAGTAGCACTGTAGATCACCAACTCAGATGATCTATGTAGAATGATTGGAGGTCTACTCGAGTTAGACGAAAAATGGTGTGACGAACCAATCAAACTTCGCGGTCAGAATCTATCATGGATTACCCCTTCAGTGTATCAAGGTACCATGGTTGCTGTGAAGACCGTATACTACAAAGGATGTTGTTGTGGAAATATGTTAGTAAGAATGAGTACATAGAACATAGCAAGACCACCACCGCATGCTCCAGCTCATGGTATACGATTAACTGATGCGCGTTGGCTGCCATTGGCTTTGACAGGGATCGATGATCTATTCGATATTCAGCGACCCAACTGCCGAATGGTTTGGCTAGGGCTCAGTGACATTTCACTGCCCCTACAGCACTATGAAGTTGCTGTGCTTTGAACTGTTAGGCGCTACCTATATAACAAAACTTAATCGATGCCATGGCTGGTTTCTACAAGGTCCTAAGTAACAAGTTGCTATCTATGGACTGTCTTTTCAAGTCGAAACAAACCATACTACACTCATTAACTTGGTTTCGTCCTGTCACTTCTTATATACCATTGCGTTCTCAACCGTATAATAGTTTAGGTTGTTTAGTTTTCTTTTCTTGTTGACTGATATATTTTTAACTTATCACCCTTTAGGTAAGTCGTATCAGTCAACTGGCTGCCAAATGGTCTAAATATAGCTGTCTTCGTCAAACTTGGTTCCCTCCGCAAAAATGACGCTCGAGAATTTGTTGGATTCGCTAGCATAACCTCAGTCAAAGGCCTAACAAACACTGTTAAATGCAGCCGATTACCCGCCATAGACCTCCTAAAGTCAACACATTGGCAGAAAGAACTAGCTGTTTTGTACAACTTAAAAGTTCGTCATGTGATTTTTTTATTGGATCGCAGTATCGTCGCGCTGAGTTTATTATCATTCATGTAGCGCACTGTTCAAATCATCTTGTATTGTTTCCTGTGCGGTAATAACTGTTACCTCTTGGCTCCACTGTTAGGTGTAAGTAAATTATGAGCTCCTACTTAGGGGCAAGCTCTCTTTTGTCTCATGTTGATATAGCAGTGTCCAGAGCCCCACATTAATGAGATTTTTCCAGTTAATTGTTTCAACAAATTACCGGTAAACTTCTTGGCCATCTTAAATATTTTCTGGTTTTGGGAGTTATATTCCCATAATGTAAGGTCGTAATGATTTGATCCAATGAATAAGAATTTAGGTGGGGAGAATTCGGGCGCATCTGTATATGGATTAATTCAACAAATTGATACCATTCTAATTATTTGGGTCCTGTTGCCATTTGGCACTTTCTCTTTGTCTTCACTTTAACATTTGCATCATCCTGCTTAATCTGGGAGATTCCAACAGTGGGATGTACACTACATCTCGATTATGATTTTTTAGTTTGTTTAAAGAAACCGCTAAATTTTACACTATTGACGTAAAAAAAATCCACACAGTTACGTAATTTACTTTTCCAACCAACCCTAGATCAAAAGGAAATAAAACACCGTAAACTATGTAGGGTGCTCAAATTCGATTGTTATTTTGTTACACTTCCGTCATTTAGGGCACGTTGGATATGCCACCTAGCTACATGAAAGCAATGTATCCCTATCATAATTCAGTATAGGTTTGTGTACTTGGCATTGACTTACATTATCTAAGGACGATTAACATTACAAAACTTCACCATCGAAGTATTCAGAATGAGGTTCAAACGTTTAATCTTATGATCAGATGGTATGTCTTTTAACTACTGTGATAATCAGTAGAGATCCCTGGAAGTGCATTATATCTGTAGTGTCTAGACATCACCCACTAATTACTTGTTTAGTGACACATGTTGTGAATCAATAATCACCACTCTCGTTTGAAGTGGAATTGTTTCTTTTTAATGAAGCCTAATTACAATTATCATCTAATTCTGCATTTCTACATGTAATAACCTGCTTCTGCCATACTTCGTTTGTTGCTATCATCACAATATCGCAAACACGACCGTCATTTTAATTTATTATGTATTTATTAGATGGGGACGGAGGTGTTTGAGATTTCATGTATTAGTTAACGTAATACCCCAGAATTATCAGTTTCTGATTTGTTCGATTTTCTGTTTGTATTAAAATATTCCACAGCTGAACTCGACGAAGTTTACAAACTGGGCCAACTATTGTCACGAATACTCACTGTTAACTGCTTCTGTTTCTCCAACTGCATATAGAAATGGAGACTTTTGCATCATACATTTCAGAAAGGCTGGGTACGGATGTTGTGGCTGTTCGTCTACTTTTATCCATGTTCATGGGTTTGTTTATCGGCATAGCTCATTTTTGTTATTAACTTTTTTGTTAGGTTATCCTATCGCTTTTATATACAACATGAAGGCAAGCTCGTGGAAAATTTCCTATCGACATCTTTATTTGTTTACCTGTGGTGTCCTTTTGTTCCTGTGGAATTTTGGTAGATTCATGTTGTCCTTATTGTCTTTACTTCTAGGTTTTGATATTGTGCATATGTTTGTTGGGATTTTCGCGACACTGTTTGTTAATCATTTGTTTATGCACTCGAGAACTGCCGTCACCTTTGCTTTCGTGTTTAATATGGTTTGTTTGCAAATAAATTTTAATCGCTATCAACTAAAAGGGATATTTAATTATCGGCTCTCATATATGTAACCGAGGTACCTATGATATAAATTGGACAACACCGTATTGTGTTCTTTGTTTGCGAATGATTGGACTATCATGGGATTTGTATGATGCATCTAAAACAGAAGTAAGT